TATAGACTGCATAAAATACAACCCTAATCCTAGTTCAACTACACGTCTAGCTTAAAGAAAAAGAAAAGGAAAATAAAAATAAAAACAATATATTATAATAATAATACAATAAGAATAAGAATATATGATATACACACACACATATATATATAACTCAATCCTTGGGCCGATACTCCATACCCAGCTAGGCTTCCATCCAAGTGGTCCACGACCCATTTAGTTGGTCCAAACCCCTGGCCCAAATCCATCTTCTTAAGATAAAATAAAAATAAATATATAATCTAACAATTAAACACTTAATAAAACACAATTACAATATACAAATAAACACATGCATAAATAATTCAATTAGCCACATAAATTCACAATAATTATTTAAATCATTAATTTAAACACATAACACATAGCCAAATAATCAAATGAAATGCAATTAAAAATAAATAAATAAATAAATGCCTTAAAAATTAGAGGTATTACAGTCTCTAAGTCCTTGGAATTGATCTAGGCCATTATGTAAGTGTCAATTGAGTTCAAGACCTTTATATAGGTTGTTTAAGGAGCAAATATGAAATGTGAATGCATATACATGATCCTTTAGAAGTGAGATAATTTTGCCCAATCCTGTTGTAAAATGGCAACTTCGAAGAACCATATCTCATTCATTTTAAATTCAAATCAGGTCAAATTTGTGTCCAAAATGAAACTCTTGAAGTCGGCTTTCCAATGGCACTAGTCTCACTCCAAATCCCAACTACAGAAAAAGTTATGGCAGTTTACAGATCCTGCATTTTTCTGGGTAGATTTTGCCTATTTGAGAGAGAGCCATTTCTCTAGCAACTAGAACCTTATTGGATGGTTTAACTAAGACCAAAGCCTATTACTAAAAGTCTAAGGGCCATTAAAATAATTTCCACAAAGAGCATTAGGTCCAAGAGTCATAAATCAACTTTAGGTAACCAAGGCCTTATAAAATGAACAATTAATTCCATGGCCTATTATTAAGTGTCCAACAACATTAATATAGTATCAATCAAATTGATTCAAGGTCCTTTTCACTTCTATAAGTGTAAATATTGAGATTTTGAAAATGTTCTAATTTAAGGACTTTCTCAATATTTGAAAAAGACTTTTCAAGATTGAAACAATTAAGTTCAAATCCTCATACACTAATTTTAGAGACCAATTCAAATGGTATGATTAAAATACATGGTCCTAGTTTTTGTAGCTCAAGTGTTGAGTTTTTCATAGCTTAAAAAAGCTTGAACTAACTCAACCTTCGCAATGGCCTCATATACTAACTTTGTCTTCAATAAAATTGATAGTCTTTTGCCAATGGTTTAAGGACATTCGAATGATATTAATAATTAGGGAGCCGAGCTTCAACTTGTTCGGGCTTGGCTCGCCAATGCCAAAAGGGTGCTCAGGCGAGCTTAGTCAAGCCAAGCTCGGGCCCGGCTCGAGCTTGCCTACATATCCAACAACATAATATATATATGTGTGTGTGTGTGTGTATGGGTGGGTGTATATATATTCAATCGAAGAGCTTCAGATCTGTATAGAATTGTATTCGAAGATGGAAAGAAATCCTTGTCCTCTCTTTCGCCAACCTCTGATCTCCGATCATCTTCTTCAAGAAGTCAACGACAATAATGATTCCATTAACACTAAAATGGGATTGAGAGACATGCAAGATATCCATGTTGAAGACTGGTTGACAAAGAGTGAGAAAGAGAAAGATCTCTAATGGAGAACCGTTGTCGGAGAGAGAAAGGAAGAGAGATCTATTGGAGAATCGTCGCCAGCGAGCAAAAGAGGGGATCTGTTAGACAAACATCGCCAACGCTGATAATATTGTCCATAAATTTAGGGTTTCCATACATACATATATATATATATATATATATATATATATATATATATATATATATATATATATATTGTTCAAGGGATCCAAAGCTGATAATGGAATTGAGCTTAATTGAATGTGTGTGAGTTTGGGCTTAATATGATGAGTAAAAGAGTCGCACTAGTGAAAGTGTGCGAATTTGGGCTAATTAATATGGAATGGGCTAAACAACTGTGCCGGGTTTTTAACGAGCTGAGTTGAGAGTTGAACTTTCAAATGAGGTTACTATTTAAACTAGCACAAACAGAAAATTATTCTACCCAATTCTTTGATCTTCATTTTCTTTAGGCTTTGTTTGGTTAGGTGGAAACAGGTAGAAAAGAAAGGAAAGAGAAAATTTTAAAATTTTCTTAGACTTTGGATAGATAGAAAGACTTAATGAAAAATTTAATTTCCCGCATTGAGTATTTTCCATCAAAAATTTTCCTGCAAAAAACAAGTGAAAATTTTATTTTCATGTGAAAGAGCGCTTATTTATTTGCATTTCCTATTTTACCCAGTAACTTAATCATGGCGCTTATTTATTTGCATTTCCTATTTTACCCAATAACTTAATCATGGAAAGTTCTCTCCAAAACAACTTTTATTCTGAGATAAGTTCTCTCCAAAACTTCTATTATGAGGTAAATTCGCAAAGCAAATTATACAATTATATATACAAAATATCAATGATAATTTGGGTAAAATTGCTCAAAATAGGTCATGCTTCTAAATAGAATTTTTTTTTTTTTATTTATTCGTCTGTTCTATGTTGCAATTCTAGCCATTCATAATCCCGTATGGATATATATATATATATATATATATATATATATATATATATATATTACATGTTGAAATATTTGATTTTTCTCCATTGCCTCTTCATCTCTAATTTTGATTTTTTAAAATTTGTTTATCTTAAACTAATAATTAGTTTTACCTAAGGAAATATTATGAAGCCTTATTCTAAATATAAATAATATAAATGAATATAAATAATTATATATTTAAATTTAATAATCCATCATTTTACTTCACAAGGGTAGTTTTAGTATACATAATAATTTTCTTTTCACTTTCATGCTATCCAAACTAAAAATAATATTTTTTTACAATTTTCTTAGATAAAATTTCATCCTAAGCAAATGCATGCTAGAAAATCTCTTTTCTTTTCATTCACTTCACTTTCTATTTCTTTTCTTTTCTAGCTTATTTCCATATAACCAAACAAAGCCTTACGAAATGAGTTAATGTCTATATCTTTCTTTTGACTTCAACAGGAGGTGCCTTAAAGCTAATTGCAATTGTTTAATCAAAGATAAAACACAACTTATAATAGTACTTATAAGCCCTTTTTTCTTGGAGCGCTTGCTTGCTATTCTCAATAAACTACAATGTGCAATTCTTAGGTATAAACTAAACATAAAGAAACTCAAAAATCAGATTGAAGATATATTCTACTATACACTCCAACAATTTTTTATTTCATCCACAATCAATAAGATGAATATCACTTCTTTAGAGTCATCCCATTTTTTTAAGACCAGTAGTCCCAACCTGCATCACATTATTCTTATTTGGCAACTTGTTTTGATTATTATTATTATTTTTTATTTATTTTTTTGACAATCTAAAAGACAAAAAACTCGAACCATCCATCTAAATTGAGAGAGAGAGGAGATACTGCTTAAACCACAAGACCCTTCATAAAAATATATATATATGATTACAATCTCAGTTTTTGAAAATGACAATAGAAAACAGAAACTAAAAATGAAAACGTTACAAAACAGGGTCGTCTTAATGTTTGTTTTGGATGTTGAGAAAAATAGGAAACATTTTTTTTTTTTTTTTTAAATCGTGACAAAAAAGTCGCAAACGTAATTTGATAAATTATATCCAACTTCCAATTAACATACTTAGTAATAATCTTAATGGTCAAAATGTGTTCATTTAAAAAAGCACTTCTAACTAGGACTGCAAGTTGGGTTGGCCCAACCCAGCCCAATCCCTCGGGTTGGGTCAACATGGGTTAGAATCATAACCCAACACGAATATTTTTGGACGGGTTGAGTCAGGTTGACGGGTTGAATTTAAAAAAAAAAAAAAAAAATTTTTGAAAATTTATATATATATATATATTATATATATATTTGATTATATTATTATTAAAAACAAATTTTATATATATATATATATATATATAATATATTTTATTTAAGAGAAATTATTTTAGCCTCCCCAATTGTCTCTCTCTAAACTTGCGCCCCCTCCCCCCTCTCTCTCTCCCTCTCTCTGCAACAACTGCAAACTACAAAATCTACAACAATCCATTCCCCCCCCCCCCCCCCCCCCCTCTCTCTGCAACAACTGCAAACTACAAAATCTACAACAATCCATTCCCCCCCCCCCCGCGCAACAACTGCAAACTACAAAATCTACAACAATCAAAACTTCAAAACCCATATATTTCAGTTTCATCTATCTGACTGCAACAATCAAAAGTTCAAAACCCATATTGGCACACACTTCATATTGTTCAAAAAATCAAAACCCAGATCTTTCAGTTTCCATCGCCCGCTGTTCCAAATCGGGTTCGCCGTTCATCGTTCGCAAGCTTCAATCGTTGTCTCTCAACCATTTCAGATTGTTCAAAAAATCAAACCCAGATCTTTCAATTTCCATCACCCGCTGTTCCAGATCACCGTTCGCCGTTCGCAAGCTTCAACCACTATCTCTCAACTCTCAAGCTTGCCCCCCCCTCTCTCTCTCTCTCTCTCTCTCTGCAACTGCAAACTTTTTTTTTTTGATGACCAACTGCTAACTTGAATGTATGGGGGCGGTAGATAGAGAAAGAGAAAGGGAAGAGAGAGAGAAAGAAGAGAGAGGAGAGAGAACGGAGAAAAAAAATATATTATTATTTTTTATTTTTATTTTTGGATTTTGAGTTGGGTTCGGGTTAACCCAAATATGTCTGGGTTTTGACAAAACCCAACTCGAACATGAACCCAATTTGTAATTTAAAAGTCCAAATTTCAAATTTTCGGGTTGGGCTTGGGGTGGGCTGGGTTTGCCCGCCCAAGTTGCAGCTCTACTTCTAACAAGTACTCTATGGTCGACTTCGTGTATTTCTTATTATGGTTCCACCCAAATAGGCAGACAAATTGTACACACATTTCCGGAAATAATTCAATCATTCACCTACTAAATCAATAATAACTTCGAAGGCAACTAAAAAACGAACTCAGCATTGCCGTGAAACAACTTCAAAACGCATCGATGTGTAATTTCAAAACGGAAAATTTACTGAATACATCTCACAGATAGACAACCTGAATTCGGAAAGGTTTGGGTTTCTGATGATAAGTTTAAGCAGTTGCAGCCATTGGTACAGATCTGTAACATGCTCTCTTTGCCGCTCGGACAATATCTTCCACCTGCACGATTTATAGCAAAGAAACTCAAGTGACCAGTTCATACAATTTGAACTTCTATATAGTTTTGTTTCTGTAGCCATAATTAATGGTAAAATATGCATGAAAACACTGCAGTTTGGAATAAAACATCAGAAGAAAATCAACCTGTGGAACAGCCATTCTCTCAAGATTAGAAGCATATGGCATAGGAACATCAGCACCGGCAATCCTCTCCACAGGAGCATCAAGATAGCCAAAGCTCTCTTCAACAATTGATGCACTATTAGAAGCAGCAGCCGCATGTTAGAAAACATAATGCATTCTAGACGAACAGTTGTGACCCACAACATATAAAACGAAATTGTATCAATATCAGTATAAGGTAATTGAATGGCAGGATGCCAACCAGATTTCAGCGCCAACACCATGCTGAGGCAACCCTTCTTCAACTGTAACCAGTCTGTTAGTTTTTCTGACTGAAGCGTTGATTGCAGGTCTATCTAGTGGCCTAATTGAGCGCAAATTTATAACCTGAGTAGGAAGGATCAGAAATTGACATCTTCAGAACTCGGGTCAAACTGCTTGTGAGTTCTCCAATATAAAAATCATAAGGAAAAATGCACTAATATCCCCTAATGATTAACAAAAATATAGGCACCTCCCTTGTGTTTTTGAAAAATTACATTGACCTCCCCTGTTAGATCAAGCTTCTTGGTTGACAGTGTTACAATTTAACCCTCGCATTTAAGTAATGCTTTTTAATATAATTACAAAGACTAAAAGACCAATGGTAAAAACCATATTTTCTTGGCCTAACATTTCATTTTTCTACCATTTTCTTCTCTAAAGAATCAAAAGTTAACATATATATCCACGGTGAACATACAAAACACACACACATACACACAATATATAATACATGTGCACCCAAATTCTTAAAACCCTCAACCTATACACCATCTCACTGCTGCGATCTCCACCTGCCATCGTCATCACCCCACCCACCACCATCACTACAGACACCATCCTTTTGTGTATATAATGTAGCTCTTGTTTAGAGGTGACAAATTTCAACACGACTCAAACACGACACAAAATTAGCGCGTTTTTGAGGCTCAATGCATTTAACTCAATTAAACCTATTTAATTATGTGTACAGTTTAACCCGTAACCTATTTTAACCTAATTATTATTATGGACATTTTTGTCATTTTAATATATACCCAATATGGTTATTGTATTGTCATTTTTTTTTTTAATTGTATTGTCCAAATTATCTTTATTTTCATCATTTTAGTCTTCTGTTTTATATATATATATATATATATATATATATATATATATATATATATATTATTATATTAGCATTTTATACTTAACAATAGGTTAATAAACGGGTTACATGACTCCATTTAATTTAATCGGCATAAACATGATATTAAAGGAATTGTACTGTGTTTTGAGTTACAAAAGTATTTATAAAACGAGTTACACAGGTCATGTCATGTTAAATATTTAATAAACAAGTCATGTTCGTGTCAAGGATTTCTGACATGATTATTAACCGGATAGTGTTCAAGTTGACCTTTATTATATACTTTTAGGTCAACATGACACAACATGTGTGAAGATGATCTTTAAATGCGCCAGTATGAAAAAGTGACATAGTCCACATTTAGGGTAATATTATGAAAAAAAGAAAACCAAAGTTAATGTGGGTAGAGTTAGTAAGGATATAATAGCATATGGATTGACATGGCCCATAAAAGAGTGGAAACATAGGTTCATGTAGCCGACCCCAAGTAGTTGGGAAAAAGGCTCGATTGTTGTTATTGTTGTTGCAACACGAATTGCCACCCCTACTCTTGTTGAATGCTTTCCCAAATTTATGAAATCAATACTGGAACCATTATATTCAGTAAACAAAAACCCTGACCAAAAACCAACATAAAAATAAATAAAAAAAGGGAAAAAAAATTATTTTTCGAAAATCACATATATACACACACATATACACCCAGTGAACATGTAGCTATATATATATATTCATCATCCCTAATGCTATGTGTGGTTGGAGGGAAGGATTGAGGAGGGATGGACAAGAGGAGAGATGGCAAGAAGCTTTTTGTGTTTGGTTGAAGGGAAGGGAAAAGAGGGAGGAAGCAAGGAGGGATGAAGCATCCCACCTTCTTTGTATTTTGTTATCCGCCCAATTTTGAGGGGAAGAGGAGAGAGAAAGTAGGATAATAACTAACAATTTTTAATTTTCATTTTTAACCTTTTCAAAAGAATTCACTTTACCCAGTGAGATGTTAATAATGAGGGTACATTGGTAAAAAACATACAAAAACTAACTTTCCCTTCCTTCCAACCAAACACAAAAAAAAAGTCATCTCATCCATCCTTTTTCTTATCCGTTCCATCCAACCAAACAAAAAGTGATGGAGACAACTTATCTTCCCTAAGGATGCCTCATCCATCCCTCCCCCTCTCTCTTCCATCTATTTTTCCATCCCTCCAACCAAAAGGAGCATAACATTTGCCACCACCACAAATTTGAAAGTTGATTTCATGAAATATCCAACAAAAGCGAGCCTTTGCTGGTGTGGTGTTGATAGAGGCGATGCTAGTGGAGAAGATAATAGAGGAGGGGATTACAATTGATGGGATTCCCGGATCGAGTGCCACTAGCAATATAAGATGTGATAGCGAGGAGGAAGCCAAAGATGATGAATTTTTTTGCAGATGCATGGTGGCAAAGGATGGCTCGAGGGCCGGTGGAAATTCAAGAATGGCAAGATTTAGAGAGAGAGAATCGAGTATCACCGAAAATCAATGGAAGCTCCGCCCATCACTGCGGATCAACAGAAGAAGCTCACCTCATTCTAAAATGCTTCACCACCCCATAATGCAACATTTTGAAAAGCATCAATAAATTTCCATTTTTAATGAAGTCAAGGAAACCAAACATGCTTGAGGATTCCTTGAGGTTTTTGTTCTATATACATATGTTATGTTTGGTCAACTTAGCAAATGGAGGACAATTTCGTCTTATAGTAGAATGTTTTACGCCTGTTTTGCCTTTTCACTTCTTTAAAGGACAAAATAGGCATTTAGAAATGTTTGGATGCTAATGTCACCATTTTTGACAGTAAAACCGTTTAACTGTCACAGCAAGGGGGTAAAAAGCGTAAAGCAAACATAGACGTTGGGAGATGTTGCTGTAATTTTTAAAACACAGGAATACACAGTATTTTTCATTTTATATTTATCATTATTTTCTTTTTTTCCTTTTCTGGGTGTGTGTGAGTGTTGGGGGGAGGGGGGTGTGGGGGAGCTTAATTTCCCAAAAACATTTACATATATATATGAAAAATAATAATTCTTTCTAATACCTCAGCATTGATTCCTTCCTTTGCAAGTATCTCAGCCGCCTGAACATCAAAGTAACACAGTTACATTCAGATGGAGGGGGAAAAAATTAATGCCAAATTGTAAAGCAGTGATAATATAAACAGAACTTTCAAAGACTGCAAAAAAAATTATTAATTTATTTATTATGCAACAGAACTGGTTCTATTTTTTATATGCCAATTGACAAAGAAAATGAATATTAACGCCGTCATATGAGCTGAATGTGAAGCATGTAAGTTCTTGTGAAACCAAAAATTGACGACCAAAATCCCCAAGAGAGAGAAAGAGAAAGACGACAAATAGATTTGTTTATTGATAGAACTCGGATGGTCTTATAAAAAGAAAAGTAGGACTCCTTTGTAATTTTTTCCAAAAAAAATATCTACACCATTTGACACAATAGACACAATGAGCCGAACCTTCTAGCAGACTTCTTAATAGGAGATGTTCCTATTTATTATACGAGGCTCAGGTTTCCAAATTTTATGGAAATTAGGCAGCGGAACAATGCCATAATGCACAGTGCAGATGATCAACAAAGCTAAAGATGATATCCACGAGTCTGCCACTCATTTGATAATTCGTCTTAGAACAATAGGTAATTTAAGCCTCAATTCCACAGTAGTGAAGGTAGTTAATCTAGAGTTGTATATACTATATACCACCAGTGTTGCCTATAATAAGGTCTTTATGGTATGCCAAAAAGGAACAGCTAATGCAATGTGGGACACTGCATACTCTTAAGTATGACAAAATAATAGTAGGGATAGAAGGAATGTGATTGGGAAGTTCTAATTGTTATAATTCTTTTCGCCAGAACAATGAGAATTAAAATGAAAATTATAAAAATTCCCAATTGAAAATTTAGGGTTTGTTTGACATGAAGATGGAAGTCCATCTTCACATGGAAGTATGGAACTCATATATGTACTTTTAAGATATAATTGATGCTTGGTGAAAGTATTTGCAGTTCCTTTAGAAACACGATCTACTTCCACTCATATAAGTGGGGAAAAAAAAAAGTCTAAATATATTCCAATTTATAACATTGACCTTAGCTTATGGACCCATATTAAATTTTTTCAGATCACTAAATTTATATAAGCAAGCAAACTATTGAGAAATTCAAACAATAGCACACATGAATCGTACTCACAAAATAATATTAATTCTAAAAAATAAATATTAGAAATGAATAGGTGTAATTAAACTTCTTTGGCTTCCCTTGATTAATGGCCCCTTCTAAAAATCTTATAAATGATAACGCACTTCTTTATAATGACGCAAAAATTCCTCACATTTTGGGAATCCAACATCAACATTATACTTACCTAGAAAACACAATATACTAATCATGTAATTCCAGTAACCATATCCTAATGGTGCTCCAACCAAATAAGTCTTCCACAGATTTATAAATAAATAGATAAATAAGAACCATAAAAACCCAATAAATGACATCTATATAAATATATGCAATTGTACATTTGTTGTAGCTTTTCCATTCAACACTCTCATATATACTAAAGTTTTGAGCCATTAATCTGAAATGATTAAACAGTTACTTTCGGTTTCATTCTTAAATAAGATGTGTTGGTCACATCTTCCTTCAGCCACTGATGTAAATGAAAAACAGGGATTGGACTCATAAAATAAGATAAGAGTATAGGCTTGAAAGCTTCTAATGCAGTGATTAACCTTATTGACTTGTGCAAAATATTGAATTTTGTTCTAATCCAAATATTGAGCACGATGAAGAGGTCGCAAAGGTTTAAAAAAAAAAAAAAAAAAAGAGGTCGCAAAGGGTTGTTATAGGACCATAGGAGCATAACAAGCTTTGTCCCAAGCATGGATGTGCAAGACAAAATTATTGTGGATTTGACAATATATTAGAAAGCCAAGTCTTTTGAGATGGCAATGGCTATTAGACAAAGATGAACCAGGGAACCAAGTAAACTAGTTAATCATTTTATAGTTCGATTAATATATTTACATATTTCGAGCTAATAAGTTATAATTGACAGCTCTTGTGGGCTTCATAAGGTTATTAATTTCAAATATGCAAGACATTGTTGTTAAAATTCTCAACATCACATGTAGTGCATCCAGTTGTGTACAAAATTGATGTTAGAACATTTAAGTTACTAAATTGTGATTAGAACTCCCCTTTATTTGCATATTAGAAAGAGAACACATCAGGGGATGTGCTTGTTTTAATTTTTTTAAGGGAAAAGTAGTCGTTGAATTGAAACTTCAGATTTTTATTTACATTTATTAGTGATATTTGAGTAGTTGCAACTTCATTTCAAGAAGAGAAACAGGTGTTCATCAAGTATAACAGGGAACTAAAGCATCATAACAATAGGCGTGACACTATTAAGATATTTATGGGAGCAATGAGTGTTGACTGGAGATATGGATAGAGGTTCAGATCTAGATGCAAAAGATGATTTATGTTTGATAATAGTTCTTTGACATAGCCTGTTTTTTTTAGTGCTGCTGGAGTTGGGGAGAATAATCCCCAAAGAGAACAATGGCTTCAACATTGTCTTCAGTATAAAATATAGATAAGGAAGAGGAGAGCCCAAAGAAGACAGAAGAGAAAGATAAAAAGGGTAATAAATCTCATAATGAGGAATATAATGATGCGATGCTTGGTGAAGAGGATGATTGCTAGGACCTTTAGGATGATTGTTTGTAAGATGGATGAAAACTTGTGCTGAGACATCCACTGCTTTAAGTTCCATGATTATTCGGTTAATCACTTCTTGTTTTCTTTTTTCTTTATATATTTATTTTCTTTTTATTTTGTTTTTTAAACCAAGTTCACTTCTTGTTTTTGGATGTACTAATTATACAGAATATGGACTTACCAAGTTACCAACAAAATTCTTTGGAGTATGGATGATATTATTTTCTTTTACATTGTTGGTATGGTGTTTGGAAAGCAGACTATGGAATATGAATGTCTGTTATTCCATTGTTCAAATTTGGAATATTCTGATGCTTGATGATTTATTAGCACGTAATATATAAGGTGCACTTGCTTCACTCAGGCTCACACCTCACCTTGCATCTAGGCTCCAAGAAACCTTGGCGCCTTGGTGTGCCTTGCGCTTTTATAACTATATAGCTGCACCGTGAGGGTAACGTAGAGCCAAAAATGAGTTGGTATTAGAGCAAGGCTTGTTGTATAGGGAGATTTTGTTGAGATCAAGGGAGTCAACACATCAACATCTGAAGATGAGGGAGTGAAATCTATCTCACCCATCCTTGAGCCAAGAAGGGGATAAAGTCGACCCTGAGGCTAAGTTCATTGAGGTAAAGAAAACCTTGGAAAGTCAAGAGATTGCCACATTTGACTATTTGAGTACAACATAAAGGGGTTGTCCGTCCAAGATCATTGGTAAGTTAGCTACAAAGAGGGATGCAACTACCGTGACTGCTTATGTGTGGCCTTTGACGACGAGGTCGAGGGGATTGACGGCTTTACCTTCAAGAGGATTGAAACCTGGGGAATTGTAAGAGCAAGTTATTGATTTGCGAGACAAGCATACTGCCTATAAAAGGAGCTAACCAAGGTTAAGGACATCGTGTTATAACCAGGGAAGAAGTAGCCCGAGCCCAAGCTATATAATAGGATCACCATGACTGCATATGTGTGGCCTTTGAGGACGAGGTCGAGGGGATTGACGGCTTTACCTTCAAGAGGATTGAAACCTTTTCTAGAAGAAAGTACAAGAAGGGGAATTGTAAGAGCAAGTTATTGATTTGCGAGACAAGCATACTGCCTATAAAAGGAGCTAACCAAGGTTAAGGACATCGTGTTACAACCAGGGAAGAAGTAGCCCGAGCCCAAGCTATATAATAGGATAAGGGGAGCAGGTGAGGATATAGGTGATGACCACACAGTAACTCTCAAGGATGACTTTAAGAGAGACCTAAACAGTTTGTTCTGCCAAAAGATTGTGAAAGACTTGACCATTATCTAAAAAGAGGGGGATCCATCAGGAATTGTGTCAAAGAATTCTCAATCCTAGTGTTACATATCCAAAAGATGGCAAAAAGGCAACGCCTTTTCTTCTTTGTTAATGGGCTACAACCTTAGGTTGCCATAAAATTGAGAAGACAAAAGCCCCATAACTTAGCATAGGTTATGGCAATAGTGGATCGACTTGATGCTTCCGAAGAAAAGTTTTTAAGGAGGGAGCATGTGAGCAATGGGGAAACTGAAAGCACGAGAAGAAGTACACCTAAGAAAGTGGATGATGAAGGAAGCAATGACTACAGGATCTAAAACACCGACACACCTGGGATGGGGGGTGTGCGAGTGTCGGACATATGTTCGAGGCTTGGACACATATCTGACTCTCCCTAGAAATGTCCCTTTTTTTCAATATATCAGACACGCTGTGACACACAAGAGGATTTTTCTTTTTTAAACACAGAGGAGGAAGATGAAGAGAGAGCCAAACCTTTCATATAGTCTGAAGAAGATGAGTTTGATATCCATGTGGGTATCATATATATCCAAATCGATTTTATGCGTGTTACACACATATATCCAAATCATATGTATATGTCCATTCAAAGAGATAAAGATCTAAAAAGAGTAAAGAAATGGAGAGGATGAAACAGGATCAGCTGAAAGAGAGAGAGCCAGAGAGACGTGTATGAAAGAGAGGGGTGGAGATGAACAGCTGGATGTCTGGTCCTTACTAAACCATGAGAATGAGGGGCACATTAGTGCGCATGGAGATGCTGAGTGCAGTGACACAAGAGTGCAAGGACAACTAAAATAGAGGAAAGAATAACCCCAAGGTGCACAATGTGACCACGAGGGATAAGGCCGTGTAAGCATTGGTGGCATGGAGTAGCCACAAAGGCACAACTTTATCAGCTGGAGGAGGTGAGTAGATTCGGCAAAGCAAACCAAGGTGAAAGGTTGACTCAAGGCTGTGAACTTTGAGGATATGCGCATTCATGTGGTTCTCAAGGCCTGGAGTTGTCACTTACCGGATGGAACACAAGAACGATTTCAAAGTAGAGACATGGATGATGATCACCAGATGATGCTCAGGTTAGACTTTATGGGCAAAACCTATGCCACATTAATGCCCTGCTCCAGAATGATGATGATGATGCTAGGAGGCAATGATTAGCCCGCAAACACAGTTCTACTGGTACAGAAAATGAGGGGTCAACTTAACAGCTTAGAGCACACAAACATGAAGACACTTATCTACGATGATCAAATCATATGATCAACAATTTCTCGTGGCCAATTGAAGGCATGATGAGGGTGTTATGTGATTGGGTAGGGAAGGATGACATGCCCCATCACATTTTAGAAGGTTATACAGACAAGATAACACAAATACTTCCTAATTCTATGGCCGTGTAGCATGTCTGCATTTGGAATATTGCACTCGTACTTCAGATAACTTATAAGTATTCCAGAAGAAACTCCTCATGAAGAGGATAGATCTCGTCCATCAATGGTCAACCGATTTTGTAAAATTAAATCTTGGTCATTCATGGAGGAGGATGATTTTATATTTGTATCCAACAATTCCTCAAGAGAGTTTGCTAGTTGTAGATAAAATAATATTAATATTCCTATTAAAAAGGCTATGAAAGTTATTTGCTTTCATCAAGCCCTCAAAAGAATTAGATGATCGTAAATCTTCTACAACGACAACGAGACTAATAATAATAATAATCCTATTGCCAATAAGAAGACTAACAAAAATGTTCAACTCGTGAAGTTTAGCATTTGCAAAATAAACTGTTCCATGTTCCGGCATGCACGTTCCAGAACATAGAATGTATGGTCTCAGCTTCTTCTGGTAGCTCTGAATACTACACAGATATTCCTGATCTCAGCTTAAGTTGACTTCTCATGTACCTTGTACTGCTAGATTCCTTTTCTCACAATTAAACAAGCAAGAGCAGATTATGCATCCAAATGAATAATTACATTGCATAAAGCTAAAGGTTATAGCAGAAAAACCTTCAGAGCATAGCCCACCATTTTTGAAAAAGCTGTAATTGTGACATCCTTGCCTTCCCTTTCTATCTGTTAATGGTAGTTAGCAGACAACATAAAATTCATAAAGTGGTGACATTATAACAAATTACAATAATAACAACATGATCATGCATAGACATAACAAAAATCACCCATTTAGGCACTTGCATAAGCTTCAGAAAAAGTACCTTAGCTTTCCCTATGGGGAGACAGAAACTGGAATCCAGAGCTTCCGCTGAAACAGGGAAAGACTCACCATATCTGAAGCACAACATTTACATTGAAATTGTTGACATTAAACATCTTAAGGAAAAAATTGACACTTCGCGAATAATTTTGCACTGAATACTCACAACAACTCATTTTCAAGGAAAACAACAGGATCAGGATCTCTGATGGCAGCTTTTAGCAGTCCGCGAGCATCTTCTGAAGAGTATGGAGCCAACACCTTCAACCCAGGGCAGGCGGCAAACCATGAAGCATAACACTGTGCATTGCAAAATCCAAACAAAAAGTCATAAAACATTCAAGCTGCTTATTTTTGTGGTGATATCATGACAGCAGATTTGATATTTGTCACATAGGAGTCAACAATGCCCATAAAGATGCTGCGTAAATTAAATATCAGTGGCAGTTCAGATCTTAATGAAGAAAAACCATAATTAATGGAAGGAAAAATAATACTCATTCATTTCTGATTTTAACTACTAATTAAAAGGAAATCATCATACAAACCACCAGACACCAGTAATCAGTGTCATTCTATGTCTTTTTCTAGGGATTATGTGAATGTGTGTTTCTACATATAAAAAAAACAATTATTCCATGACGTGAAAGGGAATTGTTCCATATTGGAATCTTTTTGACACAACACCTGCTTGCACAAGTCCAGTTTGGACACTATCTTAAGAATCTTACATAATTTTTAAACACACACAGAGCTTGCAGCCTTCCATAGTTGGTTCTATCATGAAGTTATTGGTTTCCCCACTACTTTAAAATTTGAGCCACAATGAGGCTCAATAGCACGTTACATTGTTTATGAAACGTTCAGGTGACTAAAAAGAAAACTGGTGCAAGAGAAACCCAAGGATATATACCTGGGAATGTTGGGCACCAACACCAGCAGCAGCACCATTTGGTCCTCTAAAAACAATAGGTACATTTATCTGGCCAGCAGACATGTAGTTTGATTTTGCAGCAGAATTAATGATGTGATCGATTGCCTACAACAAATGACAGAATGGAGATCACCAAAGATATTAATTATAAAGGAATTCAAGAAAGACAAGCATCAAACACTAAAAGAAATTCATATTGAACAAGTTTGACGATATTAAATCATTCATTTACTTGCATTTCAATCAAAAGCTCAAAAATAAAACCAGATAAACCACTGATAGAAAGAACCTCTGTTACATGGACTCTTCAAAAGCAGTGAAGTACCCGTGTCGGACATGTATCCCTCAGACATGGGTATGGGATATGTGTCCAACACTTTTGGTTAGACATGTACTTAAAAAGCATATCCAATCATTCAATTACATTAATATTATTACTTTAAAATGAGTTAAATGCCTATATTGAACATTGTATTTGATAAAAACATTACTTTACTCTAGAAAATAAAATAAAATAATTAATAAAATAAATATTTAGCCATGTCCGTGTGTCCTTCTGTTTGGAGATTTGACATGACCGATGCATGGATGCATACTCGTGTCCGACACCCGTACCCCAGTCCATGTAACATAGGAAAGAACAGTACCCAAAGATTTATGAATTTTTAAAATATTCAGCAAGCAATGCCCAACATTGAGTAAATGGCATGTGTGTGTGTGTGTGTGATAGAGAGAGAGAGAGAGAGAGAAAGTACTAATTTAGCCAACATGATATTAAGGATGCAACCAGGTAATAACCTTGTTACATCAAAAGGATAATAAAATATCACTCCAAATGCATTCAAATAAACAAAAAGAAAAGCTTTAAATTTTATAAGGTTCATTGTTGCTTAAATATGTGTGTGAGCATGGATATCTTTTGAAACCATTTAATGAAAGTTATCATCAACAACTGGATGATTGCTTTCCAAAAACCATAAATTGGACAGCATGGATATGGACATGGGACACATACATGATGCGATATGGCAAATCCTAATAAAGCTTTTGGAGTCTCCACTGCAATGTGTGGCTGTTCTAAATCTTCTTGTTTAATTTTTGTAATGACGTATTCATTTAACCTTTTAAAAATTCTTCTTACTGCTCCAGCTAGTAGCCTAATAGACTAATCCATTACCAGGGGAAGACCCAGGAAATTTTCTTAGGGGAACCAACCCCGTAGTATGGAAATAAAATTTTTTTTTTAAATCATATAGTCATATTTTTTTCCTTTCAATAAAAGCCCTAGCATGATCCCAAATTGGGGAGCAACCCAATTTCAACTTTTTGAACATTTTTGGGGAGCAACCTAGTCCCTTAAGTGGTGATTGGGGCAATGGACCGGGCAAACCTTGAATGGTTCTCTTACACAAGGTGATGAACAGTTCCTCTCTAAAAGCATTTTACAAATACAACATAACCTAACACCAACCTGCATAGAGAAATTAAATGTCATAAATTCCACAACAGGTTTAAGACCGTAATAAGCGGCACCAACTCCAATCCCAGTAAAGCCAGCCTGCAGAATATGCAACAAGCATATGTGTGAGATAAGTAGCCAATTATTGTTGAATGAGTTTAAGCTTCTAAAAATAGACAAGTTTAACAAAAGTAAAAGAAGAAATAGAATAACTATAACTGTTAAATCAACCGCAGGAGTGAACAGAAGCAGAAGTAAACTGACAAGTCAAGTAATAGGAATAACCTCTGTGATTGGGGTATCAAGAACCCTGTCAGGACCATACTTATCTAAGAGCCCTTTAGAAATCTATCCAACATGAAGTTTAATCCTTATTGTTAGATGACAATAGAAGATGTGTAATAGTCACAGTGAGAGGCAGGGAAGAGAGAAAGAGAGAGAGAGAGAGAGAGTTGTATATTTATCACATTAAGCAAATCTTAACCTTGTATGCACCTTGGTATTCCCCAACCTGCAATAAGAAAATGGGACATAAGAACAGAAGAAACAAAGAATGAATTTATCAATAATTCCAAATCAGATATCTTGCCTCTTCACCCATTAAAAAGACTTTAGGATCGGCCGACATTTCCTCATCAAGGGCAGAGTTTAAAGCATCTCTCACTGTAATCTGTGGGAGATTATAATTCCGATAATGTAAATTTAAGTATCTCTAAAGGAAGAGCAAGTATCACGCAGGTATGTAAATATATAAAGGAAAAAGCCTTCCGAAAACTAGAGAGAGAGACAGAGAGAATGTAAGGCTAACGGTTTTTTTTTTTTTTTTTTTTATAAGTAATGTAAGGCTAACAGTTTAAACAGGACTAAGTACCCATATATGACCATATACCAGGATTGCAGAAAAAAGAAACATAAAATTCTTTTAACAACTTCTTGCATATGTCACTTTAACAAGTGATTTGAATTCAATAACAATATCAACCTAAAGAAGTAAAACTCATGTAAACAAGGAAAAGATAGATGTGATTATTTTTCAGCACTTCATAGCATGACACTGTTGCCAAGAGAATTACCCAGACATTTCAAGTACATATATAAATACGGGTCATTCTCTAGTGTGGCCTTTGTTATTCAAGGGTGCTAGATGGGTAGATTGGACACGGACCTAACTTTTGGTACAATTATATCTACAAGTGAAATTATTTTTCAGCTTTCCTGCACTTTCAACTACAGAATTTCAGTGAACACCTAAATCCAGGGCAAAAAAAGAAAAGAAAATGAACCTCTAGCACCCATTGATTCCGGGCCAAGTATAAGCATAAGAAATTCAGGGCCCAAGCTCAGCGAATTAAAGAATAAACTTATCAATTGATTGAAAATTTGAGGTAAAGAATAATCCTCTTTACCAAATGATGTGTTCTAAGTTATTTTAGTTCTTGGAGGAAGAGTCATAAATTATTCAAACAATGAGAGTAAATAGCATTGTGGAGAGTGACGTAAGCGGAAGCGATAAATTTGTTCACAGGGAACGGGTTACTTTGAATCCACAAAGTAAGGTGTCTTGAATCCACAAAACAAGAGATAAGTTCAGAGAAAATATGATATTGTGTTGAATAATTGAATGAATGATTCTGATCTCTGCATTACATATATTTATAATGAAAGAAAACCCTAATTCATAAGGAAACTAACAGCAACACAAATCCTTATAACATAAGGAAACCTAATCCCAGAAGGATACTAATACTCGAAAATAAGCCTAAAAATAAAGTTTCTCTAAAAATTCTGAAAAAAATAGAGAAAGAAACCTAATCAAATAAAACTAAAAAGTACAAAATATGAGTGCAATCCGAGTTCGTTTAAACAACAAACAAAAATCCCGAAATATTCAACAGGCTTCCTATAGAATAGAAAAACCGCGTTTTAAGGCCCTAAACGATAGTATTTTGGCCCTAAACGATGGTATTTTGCCGAAAAACGGGTTACGTCACGGCGTAACGGTGAGTCTTGCTCGTTGAGCCGTTTCTAGTCAAAAAAACTCTCTAGTCAGGTCAAAAACGGATACTTCGATATCAACCCAGAAAATCTGTCAGCACGCCCATTTGGCCCCTTGGCGATCCAAACTATAAAGGCTTCGGCAATCAATTCTACATCAGTCTCCCCTACTTGAAAAGAACTCGTCCCTGAATTAAGACTGAAAGAGCGCGTCTCATTTAGCGGAAAGTACTCAAATAGATCTGCAACATTAAATGTATGAGAAATAGCCATGTCTTTGGGAAGCAGCGGAAGCTCAACAACATATGCATTATCATTAATCTTCTTCAAAATCTGATAAGGCCCATATTTCTTGTTCTTCAATTTGTTATAGGCACCAACAGGAAACCTCTCCTTGTGTATAAATACCATAACTAAATCTCCTTTTTGAAAGACTTTCTTCCGCCTCTTCTTGTCTGTTACTTGTTCAAGATGCTTTCGAACCTCACCCTGAATGACTTGGATGTGATTTGCCATGTGTTCAGCAACAACACTCTTTCCAAGCAGCTTCGAAAGTGGGACTAAATCCAGCGCATGCTTCGGCGGATGACAATAAACAATAGCAAAAGGCGACTTGCTTGTTGACCGATTGACCATGCTGTTGTATGCAAATTCTGTCTGTGATAACGCAAGATCCCACTGTTTTGGTTTCTCGCCAGATATATAACAAATCAAATTGCCTAAAGTCCGATTAACCACCTCTGTTTGACCATCAGATTGCGGATGACTAGTACTGCTAAAATTCAAAAATATATCAAACACATCCACAAAGTCCTTAGGAACTCCATGAAGACGAGCAACTTCCTTGAAGAACAAATTTGCAACATGTGTAGCATCAAAAGTCTTCTTACAAGCTATGAAGTGAGCCATCTTCGAATAACGATCAACAACTACAAAAACTGAATCTGCCCCTCGTTGAGTACGTGAAAGTTCTAAGATAAAGTCCATGGAAAAATCCTCCCAAGGACAATCTGGTGTAGGTAGAGGGATATAAAGACCAGCATTTTGAGACTGGTCTTTAGCAGATTGACAGATTGGACACCGTTGCACATAGCTACCATCCCTCTTGAGTTGTGGCCAATAATATCGCTCTTCGACCAAGATGTCCACCTAGACCACCACCATGTAATTCATGAATGATCTGCTCACGAAGTGAACTTCTAGGAAAACAAAGTTGATTACCACGAAAAAGAAATCCCTCATGTATGTGCATACCTTCAGCAACCTACGCAATCAGACACTTAGCCCAGAATTCCTTAAAGTCATCATCTTAGTCAAAACCCACAACTTCAGCTCAAAAAATCACCAGGAATGTTGCTCTTCGGCTAAGTGCATCAGCGACTCAGTTTACTGACCCGATTTATGCCTCAAAGATAAGGTAAATCGCTGTAGGAAAAAACCCGTCTGGTATGCATCCTGTTAATATTGTTCAGACTATTAATGAACTTCAAACCCTGATGATCAGTGTAAATAACGAACTCTCTCTGCACTAAATAATGTTACCAAACCTTAAATGCACGTACCACTTAATAGAACTCAAGCTCATAGGTAGTCCACTTCTTCCTCGCATCACTAAGCTTCTCACTACAGAACGCAATTGGTCTACCCTCTTGGGATAGAACAACACCAACTCTAACAACGGAGGCATCACACTCAACCTCAAACAATTTCTCAAAGCTTGGCAATGCTATAATAGGTGCATTGGACAGCTTTTCTTTGATCAGCTCAAAGCTCTGTTCTGCCTCTTCGCCCCAATTAAATTTGCCCTTCTTCATGCATTCTGTAATAGAAGCAACAATACTACTGAAATTCCTGATGAATCTCCGATAAAACGTTGCTAAACCATGAAAACTGCGCACATCGCCTACTATTTTTGGCGTGGGCCTTTCTCGAATTGCCCGAACCTTTTCCTCATCAACCCGAATGCCTTCAGCACTCACCACAAAACCCAGAAATAGTAAACAACATAAAAATGCACTTCTTCATATTGATGGACAACTTGTTTGCCTGCAAAACTAATAGTACCTCTCTCAAGTGCGATTGATGCTCCGTATCGGACTCACTATAAATTAGGATATCATCAAAATAGACAACAAAGAATCTGCCAATAAAATTTTTCAGTACCTGATTCATAAGCCTCATGAAAGCGCTTGGAGCATTAGACAGTCCAGACGGCATCACTAACCATTCATACAGACCCTCCTTAGTCTTGAAAGCAGTCTTCCATTCATCCCCGGGTCTAATACGAATTTGGTGGTAGCCGCTCTCAAATCAATCTTTGAAAAGAGTTTTAGGCCGCCAGCATATCCAACATATCATCTAACCGTGAAATAGGAAATTTGCACTTTAAGATGATCTTGTTGATATCTCTGTTGTCGATACACATACGCCAACTTCCATCCTTCTTTGGCACTAACAAAGTTGGAACAGCACACGGACTCGTACTCTCTCTCACCATACCCTTCTGAACCAACTCCTCAATTAATCCTGCAAAATCTGACACTCCTTTGGGCTCATGCAATAGTGCAGTAAATACAGCAGACTAGCACCAGGCACAAGATTTATGTGGTGCTGAATATCTTGCATAGGAGGTAGACCACTAGGCAACTCGTCTAGAATAATCTCCCGAAACTCTTCAAGCATGGGCTGTAACATTGCTAGAATTGTAGGAGTATCAGACACCTCTTCTCCAACCACTGCGCCAAAAACTGTCCGGACTCCTTAGCCTCCTCCGAAAACTGCTGCTCACTGCCGATTAAAAGAACTGATTTTCCCTTAACTTGTGAAACCTTGGAAAAACCGTCTTCGGTCATAGGACCCAACACAATCTTCTGTCTCCATTTATCAAACATATAAACATTATCCCTGCCCTTATGAATGGCGTTGACATCATACTGTCATGGTCTGCCCAGAATCAAGTGACAAACATCCATATCAACAACATCGCACAACGCCTCATCAATATACTTATTCCCAATAGAAAAGTGAACCCGACAGATATCTGTAACCATTGTTTCTGCCCCTCTTTTAATCCAGCCAATTTTGTAGGGACTCGGATGCTTCTCTATTTTCAGCCCTAACTTCTGGACCATCGCCCTCGACACAATATTCTCGTTGCTACCACTATCAATAATAACATCACAGGCTTTCTTATTAACAGTGCACCGTGTCCGGAATATATTGTGCCTCTGTGGATGCTCTCCGTTTTCGGGGCTAGTAACAGCCTTCGCACGACTAGAGAATGTGAGAGTAACTCCCCCTCATCTTCTCCAATCACCTCTTCCTCATCGTATAAAGGAAACCCTTCGTCAGCTTCTCTATCTTGATCTTGATCCTCCTCACCCCCAAGCTCTATTAAATTAACTTAGCAGCTTTGGGGACATTCATTAGATTGATGTCCTGGCTGCTATAACACTTAATGGGGTCTAGCCGACTATAAGGATTATTTTGGATGCATCCTGACTTGCTATGGGAGTTGTTCCGGCTTTTTTGGCTGAGTACTGGTGCTAGCCAAATTAGGTACTGCTAGAACGGAAGGCTAAGAATACATGGGCTGTTATGCTTTGTTCGTCGTTGAACGCGTCGCATCAAAATACCAGGAGCTAGCCGGTGTTTTCACTTTCTCCAAAAAGGCAT